GTCCATCCTGGTTTTTCTTTTTTGTCACTGACGTATTTTATTTCTTTATCTTATATCTTTTTATGTTTATATTTCCTTTCATGAATTGTGCTTTCCGGGGCCATTTTAATTTTTTGGTATTTCTTTTACTTTGTGGTCTAAATATTCTCTACACATCATTTCTTAGATACTCCAAAGCTTTAATCAGGTTTGACATTAAATTAAGGCCAAGGTTTTTCAAGGTATCTGTCTGATATTGATTATTTTCAATTTGATTTACTGGCAAGTTTGACGACCTTGTTTGATCTTTTTTAATCCCACGGGTTTCAGCGATATGCGTAGATTCTTATTTATGGATTTTGTTTCATTTTATCATTCAGATACTTGTTGTTTCTTGGTGTTGTTTAACTGACGTCATTATGCAGAAGAAAGAGTTTTACAGAATTTTCTAGGACTCAATAGTATTTGTGTTTCATTGTTTTATCCGCACTTTCTAACGAAAGTCCGAGGTAAATTGTTGTGAATCTGGTCCGCCCGTTTGTCTGTCTGTCCGTCCGTCCGTTCGTCTGTCACACTATCTTTTTCCTCGAACTACTCTTACATTTTAAGCAGTAGCCAAATCATCTTTTGGAATATGTTGGCGAAAATATCGTTTTTCTACAAAGACCTGGTTCCTTGAACTTCTCTTATATTATTTACAGTTGCCCATTCATATTTTAACATGATTGGGAGTATCCTGTACGTATGCAATAAGGTTTTAAAACTTCATTTTTCACCTTATGGGTGAATGGGGATCTAAAAGTATTTTTCTACCCCCCCCCCCCAAAAAAAAAAAACCGGTTCTTTGAACTCATCTTACATTTTTGGCAGCAGTCCATTCATATTTTGAAATATGATTGGGAGCATCCTGTAAATGTGCTGAGATGATGGGGGGGGGGGCTTTTTCTACACAAATAATCTCGTTCCCTTTTGCATTTTTCTTTCAGTAGCCAAATTATTTTTGAATGGTGATTGGTCCTATGTGCACTTAGGTTTCAGAATTTTCATTTTCACCCTACGGTTGGTTGGGGGTTAAAAAGGGACTTTTAAAAAATCATTGAATTGTTGTGGTTTCTTTCTTTGTAAACAAATATTATTTTTATACCTGAATCACATTTAAACGAATGGTCGAGCGCCCAAAGGAGATGGGTGAACAAGACGCGCAGAATGCCTATAGCTTCAGATATGTAAAAACCATATTCAATTTAAGAATTTAGTATTCAGAGTAAAGTTACCTTTATTGAAATTTATGAAATTATGATAAACAACTTTTCTGAGGAATATTTTCTCGGCAAACATTATTCTGTTATTTAAAAAAAAATGTGGTATTCCTAGGGTTCGAACCCTAGCAATAAAAATCCTGAGTATCATTTTCCTTTGAGACTAACGCTCTAACCACTACATTACACAACTCCTGATGAATAGTGACACTTAAATTATGTCTGTGATATGACCCTTGACTAAATGGACTTCAAGTATTTCTCGGAAAATGCGAATGTTGTGTCATAAAAGTGTATTTTTAAGGTATAGTGGGTCTTTTGCTCCATGTTTTTGTTAACCAAAATATGTATATTTTTACGCAAACTTTGGGGATAAACTTTCAAAAAATGGAGCGAAGACCCGTTCATATCGATAAAATTGTGTTATAGTGAGAGAAAATGATCCTTTTTGCCCTCTTTAGCGTGTGTATGCTATTTCATAGGTAAATAATTTCAATCTTTGTGAGATCTTTGCATATTCTGGAGATTTTACATGAAGCATACTTTAATGTTAGATGAAATATCAAGAAAAATTTTGTCATAATTGAGATTTAATTTTTCACCTTCATGTTTGTCGCACTATAGGCACTTCGCTCGCCTTGTTTGCCCATCTTCTTTTTCTCGTCTCGTTGACTGAAAAAAAAAAAAACAAACAAACAAACAAAAAAAAAAAAAAACAAAACAAAACAAAACAAAAAACCTTGATCGGCCGATTCTAGAATCGAGCGACGCACTGGGTTGCAGTTTCATTTTCACTGTCGACCGAAATTCTGGGAACAGAATGTCTCATTTCCAAAACGACCAATGGCTGACGGAATTTGAGGCAAAAATATATGGGACTCTTCGGGCTACAATCGGCATTTCATCGGCCGTTGTCTTACTCGATTTTGACCTCATTCTTTGGTTTTAAGCTGCTTAAAAAATATATTTGAAATACATGCAAGTTAAATTAGATTTCAAGCAAATGAATTTACACATTTACACAAATGAATGACGTTCTAATTATACAGAAGAAATTGCATTTTTAAGCAGGGATCGCGTATTTTTCTTGGGTAGTTTGTTAATATATTAATCTACATTCCTCATTTTTCTCACAAAACAAGAGCATTCCACGTCGATTGTGACGTCGTTAACGATTTTGCATTCAATTGGGGGGGGGGGGTATCGCGGGAGAGAGAGAGAGAGAGAGAGAGAGAGAGAGAGAGAGAGAGAGTTTTCACTGAAAAGAAACTGTAACGTAAATCATTAAAAGAGTGCATATGAATATAACATTAAATTTACTCAATTACAAGAAGAACGTGTTTAAATTCTTTTAAATTATATCAAGATATGCTTTTCTTATAGATTTTGAATATGTCATTAAGCTTGATATCAAACTGATTGCTAAAATGTACATAGCGAGTAAATTAAATGTATTAAAAGTTCAACATAAAATGACTGGCGTCTAAAATGTCGCGCAAAATTATGATCCAGCTCTATCGAGGTTATTTTCTATTTATTTTTCATCGATTTTCATCGCAACATTTAGGAGGTTCCACATTGATTTGTCCAGTGGACGTTCTTAATTGAAGCGTAATTGCTTCAACGTAATGCACGAAATTATGCTTAAGAGTAGTTTTGGTAATTAACAAACTTTATCATACACAAATCAAAAGCACCATTTTTTGTTCATGTGTAAAATATCAAGCAGTCTCTTTTATGCATATTGATATATTTACATCCACTAAATATCATTTCCTTTATTTCTTATAGAAACCATGTTTGTTAATCAGTCATTTAAAAACCAGAAAGCAAACCACCTCAATCGATTTCTTAAGCAGCGGCTGTTCCATCAATCAAACACATACTGGTATACATTTCAATAATATCATATATTTATAATGTATAGTATTGATATTTATTCCTACTTTATATGACTAAATATGAACAATAAAATGTCTCTCTTTGTTTGTTAGTACGGGAATTAACGTTGCAGCATTTGCAGAGAAGAATTGCATAAACCGCTTACATGTATTTTTTCTGCAACAGCTGTAACATTAATTCCCGTACTAACAACCAAAGACAGCATTTTATTGTTTAAAGCGATAGAACATCAGTCATACTAGTTTGCGTTTGAACATATTTTATTGTTTAGATATTACAACAAAAGGATCGGACACAAGTTCTTAAAACTTAGAACGTCCTCTCCTTTATAACAATTAATTACACAAAATAATGTTAAAAATTTAACTGCACTGGAAACAAAGGTCAATATGATTATCTTACATAGGTTGTGCATGTACAAAATTGACTTGATGTAGTATGTACAAATGAATGAAATATATAAATTCAAAAACGACCAGATCTCTTAATAAACAATTGCACATTTAAAAATAAATAGTCATACTAGTAGCACTGTTAGAATCGTTACGTTAATACTTCCGCAGAACTGTTAGATGTATTTGAAGCGTAACGTTAAACGTTATAAACATCACGCGTAACTACAGCATTTTTTTTTCATCAAAGCGAAGCGGTTTATAAAAAAGCGTAAACTGTTCCAACCCAGGTTATACCAGGATAATTTGGGTAAATTCATTCATTATAATTTAATTTTCCATCATTAAGTGTAAAACATAAGACAATTTTTCCTCCAAAAATGACTTCAAATTGTACATATTTTAAATGTAACTTCAAGCGGATTGGTACGTTTTTGACGTAAGTCACTGTGACGTAGGCAACACAGGTAAAACGATATAAACTAATTTTTTATCCAATCAAATGACGCGTTACTATGGCATGTCAAACGTTGCAATATTCGATCTTTTCCATTTGTATTTGTATAATTTTCTAATTGTATTGTATAATTTTTCATTTGTATTGTAAAATTTTCCATTTGTATTCTATAATTTTGCATTTGCATTGTAAAATTTTGATTTATATTCTATAACTTTTCATTTGTATTGTAAATTTTTTAATATGTATTCTATAATTTTCCATCTGTATTGTATAATTTTTTATTTGTATTGTATATGTTTTTTTATTTGTATCTTATAATTTTTTTTTTATATTTGTATTATATAATTTTCAATTTGTATTGTATCATTTTCCATTTGTATTGTGAAATTATGCAATACCAATGGAAATTTATACAATACAAATGGAAAATTATACAGTGCAAAATCAAATATAAATGGAAAATTATACAATACAAATGGATCGAAAAAGATCGAATGTTGCAACGTTTGCCATGCCATACGCTACGACCAAAATTAAATTATTTTTGAAGTCTCTGTATCCTATAAGTTTAATTATGACGTCACTTTAACGCGAGTGTATTCTGCACGTGAGTATACATGTATACGTATACACAACATCCAAATAAACATAGATCTATAGTTGGTTTAGTACAAAAAAAAAAGCACAGCGTATGTAAATTAATATATCTCTCTCTTTACGTATAAGTTTTCTATTGCGAATGATACAAAAATTTTACACCTGGCGACGTGAGAAGAAGCATTCTATATGTTATTATTTGTCCATTGCATGCCATGCCGATTGCAACGTGACTTATTTTTATCCCAATCAACTAACCAATGAAAATGGAGTATTATAAACGTTCAGCCATCTTTGTCTAATAATAACTCTCACTCACGTTAAGATGGGCATGTTAATGGCGTACAGATCAATTGTGTTCAATATTTTTTTATAATGGTGTCGTTAAACTAATAATTTTAAAAGATGTAAGGTGTTGAAGTGAAGGACCTAACAATAATCAAAATGTCAAAAAGTAGCAAGAGAAAGCACGTCGTGCATTGGTTTCGTAAGGGACTTCGCTTACATGATAATCCAGCGCTTCGCGAGGCGCTGAAAGGGGCATCAACATATCGATGTGTTTACATACTGGACCCATGGTTTGCAGGTTCCTCACAAGTTGGAATTAACAAATGGAGGTATATAATCGTACTTTTGTCAGAAGGCTTGTGCACTTGAGTGAATTGGGGAAATTTCGCTTACTAGGCCTAATTACGTTATCCAGTTATTTGGTCAAATTATGTAATTAAGAGAAATAGGTCAACGAAATCTCGTATGTTATTGTTTATACAAAGTTAATGTTATCTTTGTACATGCAACATGAAAATTATTTCAGTGCAACCAAGTTAGAAGTTCAAAATACGCCAGATATTCTGATCGAATTTCTCCATTATCGACTTGTTGGAGGGCCAGTCCATTCACTGTCTCTTCAATTGTCTGCCTGTCCTTTCTTTAAGGGCTAGCTGGAATTGGTTCACATTGGACTAAAATGAAAACTGCATGATCAAAAATTAATTCCATTGTCCACCTAGATTATCTTGTAATACTGGGCAATGCTTATTTGTGTAACATGAAAATGATGAAAGGAAAAAAATGTATGACAGGTGCGGGAATTAAACCCGGTATCCCTGCATCAATATTCAGGTGTTATACAGACTGAGCTATCCAGGTCAATATCCACAGCCCAAACCATTACATTCCTCCCTCCTTAAATTGTCTTCACCCATGAAGACACAACCCAAGTTCTTATTTTCCCCTTGCAGGATTTTCACCTGCAAGTCCAGGGGTGGTCAACAGCAACAATTATGTAACAGGAAAGGAGAAATGCATGGTCAGACCGGGAATCAAACCTGGGACTCCTGCATCTGAGCAGCATCACTATAGTCAGGTGCTCTATCAACTGAGCTATCCAGGCCGATATCCACAGCCCAAATCATTGCAATTTGCATATATATTTCTTGTTTGTGATGGGCCATTCATAGTTTGTTTTAAGGTGCATTTCACACATTCCTGGAGAATCGTGGACTTTTGTATGTACCATAGTTTCCACTCACCAAAGGTAACTGTCCATTCAGTATATCAATATCAAGAATGTAAAAAAAAATGTCACTGGCAGAAAAAGTATAAAATTCTTGTCTGGGCTATAACTTTGACTTTGTAATGAGAATTACTGGAAGCTCATACTTGGTACAGAAATTGCTTATGATCCACGGGTGTGTCATGATCTTGACCCAAAGTCATTCTGGTAAGTTCAAGTCACTGGAAGAAAAGTATAAAATTCTTGTCCGGGCTCTAACTTTGTAATGGAGAATCATTGGAAGCTCATACTAGGTTTAGATATTGCTTGTGATGGAAGAGTGTGTTTTGACCTTAACCAAAAGTCAATCATACAAGTTCAAGGTCATTTGCAGAAAAAGAATAAATTCTTGTCTAGGCTATACCCTTGTAATGCAGAAACATTTGAAGCTCATACTTGATACAGAGATTGTTATGATCCAAGAGTGTATCTTGACCTTGACCCAAGGTCATTCCAACAAGTTCAAGGTCACTGGTAAAAAAAATTATAAAATATCTGTCCAGGTTCTAACTTTGTAATGGAGAGTCATTGGAAGCTCATACTTGGTACAGAAATTGTTCATGACCCGAAGTTGTGTCATGATTTTGACTTAAGGTCATTCTGACAGGTTCAAGGTCTCTGGTAGAAAAAGTATAAAATTCTTATCTAGGCTCTAACTTTGTAATGGAGAATCATTAGAAGCTCACACTTGGTAAGGAGATTGATTATTACCTGAGGGTGTGTAGTGACCTTGACCTAGGGGGTCATTCTGGAAAGTTCAAGGTCACTGGTATAAAAACTGTAAAATTCATAATAGGTCTATAATTTTCTAATGAAGAAACTATTGCATATTCATATTTAACTGAAAGACTACTAGTGACTATGGGATGTGTATTTTTTTTAACTTAGGTCTTTTTGACAAGTTTAAGGTCATTTTTACAAAAATTTAAATGGGCACTCCAAAAAATTGGGGTGGGGGTATTATTTTGTGAGTTAGCTTAGTGCATCTTGTTTCAACAAATGGTGTTGCCATGATAATAAAAATAGAAATTTCTGTGAAATTCTTTCAAAATGCTACTCCTCCTACAGTTATGTTCCAAATTCATTAAGACTTGGTTAACAAGTACACCTTGCTAAGATACATAATCCTGTTAGCTGGTTTTTGATTTCAACAAACATTGTCATAGTTACTAGATATTGAAATTATTTCAAAATGCTACTCCTCCTACAATTATGGTCCAATTTCATTAAGACTTGGTATACAAGTACATCTTGCTAAGATACATAATCCTGTAAAACTGGTTTTTGATTTCAACAAACATTGTTGTCATAGTTACTAGATATTGAAATTCTTTTAAAATGCTACTCCTTCTACAGTTTTTGTGCAATTTCAGTAAGACTTGGTACACAAGTACACTTTACTAAGATACATAATTCTATTTATTGGCTTTTGGTTTTGACAAGCACTGTTTCCATGGTTACTAAAAATAGAAATATCTTTGAAATTCTTTCAAAATGCTACTCCTCCTACAGTTTTGATCAAATCTTATTAAGACTTAGTACACAAGTACACTGTACTAAGGTACTTGATCCTTGCCTATCGGTTTTGATTTCGACAAATGGTGTTGCCATGGTTACTGAAAAATTGAAATTTCTTTGAAAGTCTTTCAAAACGCTACTCCTACAGTTTTGGTCCTATATCATCAAGATTTGGTACACAAATACACTATACTAAGAAACACCAATAAACCCAGTAGAACTTCATTCTTGCCTCATTTCTGGTTATATTTAGACATAGAGTACCTTGCCAGTTTGTATAAGACTTAAAATTCAGTACATTTACTGGCTTAGCAGCTCAGTTGGTAGATCTCTGTAGTCAGAATTAATTAAGGTCCTGGGTTTGCAACCCAGCCACGATAAACCTTTCAATATAAAATAGGTAGCAACTGTTCATTTGCCAAGCACTCGGCAGTCAACACTATTGAAATGAAATTTGATAGTCATGTTCAGTGGCTCTGAGTGCCAAGAAAAGATCTGAATTTGACTTAGATCACTAGCATCTGTTGACATCTCATATGAGTGAAAAAATCTCATAAAATGACAATCAATCTGTCATTTGTTTCAGGTTTTTGCTGCAATGTTTAGAAGATCTAGACACGTCTCTTCGTAAATTGAATTCCAGGTTATTTGTTTTAAGAGGACAGCCAACTGACTTGTTTCCTAAAATATTTAAGGTAAGTTTGTTACATCTCATTATATAACTGATATTTAAGGAATGTGTATGACATTTCAATGTATTTCTGATGTGAAAACTAAGTTCAGAAACTCTAACTCAGGTCAGAAGCCAACTTTAAAGCTATATATGGTGTATCTGAGCTAAAAAATGATAATACGAGATTGAGTGTAGATATACAATATGATGTATTGTATAATATGCTCAGATTAAAATTTTCACTGATTTTTAACTCGAATAACCTCATGTTTCTATAATTAAATTGATTTTAAATGTGTCTTTTATTTAAATGTGGAGTCGGTAAATAAATCGGTTATTGTTTTAATTTTGTGTTATCTTTGAAATATGATTGATTTAAATTGTGTAATTTACAGAAAAGTCCTATCTGTATATAAAGTAAAAAATCAAACAAGATATTTTTAATTTTGGCTATTTGGACTTGGTCAAAAATACACTATATATGACTTTAAATTTATCTGTAATTGAATGACAATAATTCAGTTCAATTTAAAAAATAAAATCCTTTTGTTACAAATAAAAAAAAAGATTTTTTTTCTGAACAAGAAATAAACTTATATCACAGATTCAGTTATGGCTTTATTAAGTGCATAGGCTAATTTCTGTTATTCCCTTTTTGAACTCCTCAACTAATAAAAAATTGTAGATGTTAAAAGTTTCAAGAGATATTACATGGCTTAAGTCTCAGGCCATTCTCAATTTTGATCTAAACAATGTGTCAATTATTGATAACACTTTATAAAACTACAGTTATGATGGAAAATAAAGCTACATGATACAGTCAAATCTCATTATCTTGAGGTTGATGGGATCAATAAGAAACTGAGAGATGCCCGGTAACCAAGGTTTTGAAATAAATATTGAGTTTAAAATAAAGAAAAAGTGGTGTGACATCAACTCACTTTGACATATATATCCATGGTATTCATGATAACAAAGTCCTAGATACAGAGATTCAGTTATAATATTTGTTTGCTTACAGGAATGGAATTTTACGACACTTTCCTTCGAGGGTACAGAGATTTAATTGTAATTTTTGTTTGTTTACAGGAATGGAATATTACGACACTTTGCTTCGAGAATACAAAGATTTAATTGTAATTTTTGTTTGTGTACAGGAATGGAATATTACGACACTTTCCTTCGAGAATACAGAGATTTAATTGTAATTTTTGTTTGTTTACAGGAATGGAATATTACGACACTTTCCTTCGAGGATACAGAGATTTAATTGTAATTTTTGTTTGTTTACAGGAATGGAATATTACGACACTTTCTTTCAAGGGTACAGAGATTTAATTGTAATTTTTGTTTGTTTACAGGAATGGAATATTACGACACTTTCCTTCGAGGAAGACCCAGAGCCATTTGGGAAGGAACGAGACAGTGCCATACAGATGTTGGCTAAAGATGCGGGAGTAGATGTCGTCATTAGGACCTCACATACTCTCTACGACCTTCAAAAGTAAGTCTTTAGTGTAGAGCACTTTAGTCAACATGGTCAATAAATAAAATGCTATTCTAACCAAAGTTGGATCCTAGATTGCCAAAATAAAAAAAAATTCCAGTTAAATAACTATATCATACACATAAGTATGCTTGTGATTTGAAGGCCCTAGCTAGTGTACATTATTAGAACATCTTAATTAATTTAAAATCATTTTTGTGATGATATTTTTAGAATATATAATATAATAATAATATATATATATCCAAGCACAACAGTACACATAATGACATGCATTACATTCTAATCATGGGATATTTATAGAATAATCGCAGTGAACGGGGATACCCCACCACTAACATACAAACGTTTCCAGTCAGTGCTGTCAAAAATGGACCCTCCCAAGGAACCGGAGGAAACAATCAACACTGCTATCCTAGAGAAGACAAAAACTCCATTGTCCGAGGACCATGATGACAAATATGGGGTTCCCACTTTAGAAGAATTAGGTGAGGATTCATTAGCTATTTATTGTGTAGTATTATTTTTAGTGTTGTATTTTCCAGAGTAGATGTCTAAGAATCATTCTTGTCTCTTTGTTTATACTATGTGAACGTACCAGAGTACATTTTATGCTGTACAAGTGAGATAATGTGAAAGGTTAATTCCTTGTTGTTTAACATATTTAACTTACAGCTAAAATTATGTTTGTCACTTATTTTTAGTATGATAGCACAGGAAACTTTTTTCCAGACTTAAATTTGTAGTAAATACAGTAGTTGATTGGTTGAATTTTGACAGGGTTTGATACAGAGGGGTTAGGCCCTGCCGTGTTTTGTGGTGGGGAGGCTGAGGCCCTAACAAGGCTTGAGAGACACCTTGAACGAAAGGTAGGACGAAAAAACTAAGTGTAAAAAGTTGTGAGGTACAGTCAAAATAAGTTTAATCAGTGACTTAGTACAATTTAAACAAGATTTGGACTTGCAAAATGTTTCACATAATCACTAAGGAATTCATACTATTAGTAGATGACCTGATTCAGAGAAGATACGAATGTATTTTCAACTTATCAGAAGCATCATTTTAAGCAATGAGTTACATATATTTAAAAAAATTAATATTATTTACAGGCCTGGGTAGCAAGCTTCGAGCGACCAAAGATGTCCCAGCAGTCCCTGTTTCCTAGTCAGAATGTCCTTAGTCCCTACCTTAGATTTGGTTGTCTGTCAGCTCGCCTGTTTTACTGGAAACTTAGAGAATTATACAGAAAGGTAATTCTCTACTGCATGCTTATAAGAGATCCTGACTAGGGATAAAACTGACCTATGAAGCATTTTATTGAAAATTGTCTTGTATAAAAAATGATTAGGTGTATTACAGGAAAAGTTGACAGGTACACGAGTTTGAAGCAGAAATTGTTACACTGTTAAGGGACACTGACAATTCATGATTATTGTATGCTACATAACCCTTTCATCACTTTTGTGGTGTAAAAATAGAGAGTAATATCAAGAGCTCTGATTGATGTTGTTTTAAGTATTATGAATTTAAATTTTTGCAAAACCATAATACATGAACAAAAATACTTCAAGCTGGCGTATTTCATGAAGCGCATTATCACATTATGATAAATATGCTGGCCTGAAGCTTCGTAGTTCATGTATACCTCATGAATTTTCAAAATTTAAATTCATATCTTATATGTACATTACAAATCTGATGACTAGTCACAAATTATGTCACTGAACTATCATTTTCAAAGAAAAAAAATGATGGCACTATTTTTTTGACATGATGGAGATATTCATGCTCATCCATGTGAGTTCATGAGAAAATGGATCACACTCCTATTTGTAAAGAATCCTGAGGGAAAATATTGGAAATGTAAACATTTCTTTTTGAAGGTGAAGAAAAGGAAGGACCCTCCGCTGTCTCTTCACGGCCAGTTGTTATGGAGAGAGTTCTTTTACACAGTGGCTACAAATAATCCCAACTTTGACCAAATGAAAGATAATCCATTATGTGTACAAATTCCCTGGGATAAAAATCCAGGAGCATTAGCTAAATGGGCAGAGGTTAGTAGGAAATTGTGTTTTGTGTTATTTGAAATAAATTCATTATATAGCACCTTGTACATGAAATACTGATCAGTTTGTCTATATGCCAAATTTCAACAGTACACGTATATCTTACCCCCTTGGTTCAGTTTGGATTACACTTTCCTTTCATATAGAGTGTCTGTAAGTAACGGAAATGCAGTGACATTGAACAAAGTTTTTAATTGAAAGGTCAAGGTTAAATGTATCTTTGGTAAAAAAAAAAATCTTCTATCATGATGCAATCTTGTTCATGCTTTACCCCATAGAATGTCCTTGACAAATGTCTGTAAGTCAAAGTTAGAGGTACTTTCAAATTTTTGTTACCCTGGTCTGGAGTACAATCATATTCCTGCTGCCCAATAGCAACCCTTCCCTATTCATAATTCCACCTTAAGGAAGCCTTTGGACAGTATAGGATAAGGACAGGTCTGATTCATATGCATAGAGTGTCTTTGGGTAAAAAACTATATTTCAAAGTTCAGGATTAAAGAAGATCTTCTCATAGAATTCTTTTCTAGAGTATATTCTCCCTTCTCTATGCCAGGGTTCAAATACCACAAATTGCCCTTGATACATGTATTTCTAAAATTAGCTTAAGTCCATTCATGTACTTTATAGGGCAAGACAGGGTTTCCTTGGATTGATGCTATAATGATGCAGCTAAAACAGACGGGGTGGATCCATAATTTAGCCCGGCATTCAGTGGCATGTTTTTTAACCCGTGGGGACCTCTGGATCTCGTGGGAGGAAGGAATGAAGGTGAGATATATAGATATGAAAAATTATCTTGAAATGGTTGGAACTTAATGTTTTGAAGATGCAAGATTCTTGATGTGTGATATTCAATTATGAAGAGACCTTGCAGGTTTTCTGGAATTATAAACATGATATTTTGTGGTAAGAGCAAGCTAAATTCAACATAATCAATTTGACAATTTCGAAATCAATAGAAAGAGAGATAATCAGTCCCTTCTTTAATAACAACAGTTTCTGCAATTGCCTAGAGCAGTTCCAGTTTTTGCAAAGAGGGGATGTAATAAAAAAAAGAAGCTTATATACACATTACATAAGTGTTTAATTTTGTTGACAAGTGTCAAATGAGCTACTACTAGATGCAGACTAGAATTAAATGCTGGCATGTGGATGTGGCATGTAGAGATTATACATGTATAAGGTTGACGTTTTCTGTTGACAGGTGTTCGAGGAACTTTTACTAGATGCTGACTGGAGTGTGAATGCTGGTATGTGGATGTGGCTCTCCTGCAGCTCATTTTTCCAACAATTTTTTCACTGTTACTGCCCTGTGGGCTTTGGTAAAAGAGCAGATCCTACAGGGGATTTTATCAGGTAATTCTGTCATATAATATATTCACACTTTAGAAGGGATTTTAACAGTAATTGTGTCTGATTGTGTATGATTATTATGTATCCAAATCCTACTGGGGATTATATCAGGTAGAGGTGTCATGAGAAAAGGTGTTATCATAATATTTCAAGCATCAGAGTACATATATCCAGGAAGAGTACAAATATGGAGATTGTATTGTTAGGGATGTTAAGTTCACTTTCAATATTTTCTTTTTAAGTAAAGAAATTGTTTAGGTTAATCCTCTTCTTCTTGTCTTTTGAAATATTTCTGGGCAGGAATAGTGGTAGTGCAAATAAAATATACTCCATGTACAGCTGACAATTTTTCTAGAAAGATGCTGGAAAATGAAAAAATGTGTATCGGAAAGCCATTTTTCTGTTTTTATTTTTTGTAGGACATACTTGCCTGTTCTAAAAGGCTTTCCTGCCAAATACATATATGAGCCATGGACAGCCCCAGAAAGTGTTCAGCGGGCTGCAAAATGTATTATTGGTAAAGATTACCCTGTCCCCATGGTGAACCACGCAGAAGTCAGCAAACTCAATATTGGACGAATGAAACAGGTCTACCAGCAGTTGGCTATGTATGCCTCAATAGGTAAAAAATTGTAGAGAATTTGCAGTTCCTCATTAATATTTCTTTAATTACTTTAAAAAAAAATCATGAATAAGCATATGTAATACATTGAACATGTCTACTTTATCAAGAATTTTAGAATTGCATTTTTTGTGCTATGATAGAGACAAATTAATCAAAAACAGCATATGCTAGTTGCTTGCTATTTGACAAAATATTGTCTACCACCTTCCCCAATTAATCTTGTTATTCCAAGTATTTTTTAAACATCTCATTGTATAATGACCTTGACCTTCAGTGTACAGTATAACCTCAGCTCAACATTATGATTCAGATTAAGATAATAGGCGACAATTGACTTAAGTTTGAGATCAAGGTCAAGGTCACTGAGCAATAAAATTTTAAACTCATATCTGAGTCATAATTTGGAAACTTTGACTGGAATGAGTTCAAACTTGAGTATGATGTTGTTCTCCAAAAGGTGTGTCTTAATCTTGCAACATGGTCATGTCTATAATGATAAGGTCACGGATCATCAAAGTGTTGAAATTATGTTAATCAAATCTGAAAATTCAAATGACAATTAAGATTTAATCATTCCCTTACATCTTGTTTAATATGTATATATCCATTAAAGGATATGTTGTCAAGTTTGCCAAATTCCTATTTTTAAAGCGGACTACATATTGCTGTTGTCCAAGTATGACCTTATGATTAGAAAATTATGAACTTCTCATTTGTGCAGATTTTACATGTAATTATTCATGATTGTATAGTTATTACAATTTTTTTGTTTTTTAGCTTCTGTCCCAAAACAAATCAACACTGAGGAACCATATAACAAGCACACAAAAGGTAAATAATATAATCCTAAGTTACCTGTATTTATAGCTCAGTTTTATTCCCATCGCAATATAAAATACAGTTAAAGTATATCATTGAAGGAGTTAGCAAGATTCCAATTCCCAAGACCAGGACTATTTCTCGAGGCGAGGCTGAGGGAAATAGTTCTGGTTGAGGGGAACTGGAATCTTTTTAACTCCCGCAATGATATTAAATATTTAATTATATACATACAGGGTTGTCTTTAAGACCCGGGGGCTGGGGAATTTCCCCACCTATAATGTTGTAATTCCTCCTAAATTATATTAAGTAATGTTGGTATTCCTCCTAAATTTCCCGTTAGAAGAGGAACCCCAGATCCCCTTCTACTTTTTAAATGTTCCCTTCTATTTCAATTCTTAGGGACAACCCTACCCATACATAAGTAAAATTTAGAGGATTATGGATAACCGAAAACTGATTAGCTTTCAAAGCAGGGATTAGCTCACTTTACTAACACATGGGAATTAGTCCATTTACATGTTATGCTTAAATAAAAGTACATCTTACTATCTACTTTTATATAGGGAAAATCAGTAGAGGTATAATAAAAAAAAATATAAAATGCAGTGTGAACATGCTGTTATTTTGTATGTAAACATTATACATTTATATATTGCATCATACTGTATGTCAACTGAAATAGCTATTTTCATGGCATAATACAAATTTTATTGAAAATTCCACTATAGCGAGATCAAATTAAAAGAAGAGTATTTATGGATGGAACAAACAAGTTGGGAATTTGGATTGAAACAAGTTTGACTCAGGAAATTCAGAAATAAAAAGGCTAAATCTAAATTTAGGTTCAAGTGAACTTTTCTGATCAAAGAGTGTCTGTTGTCTGTAAACTTTTCACATTTTCAACTTCTTCTGAAGAACCACTAGGCCAATTTCAACCAAACTTGCCACAAAGCATTGTTGGGTGTAGGGGATATAAATTTGTTGACAGGAAGGCCAGGCCCTCTCTCAAGTGGAGATTAATAAGAATTCATGAAAATTTGTTGGTATCTTTTAAAAATCTTCTCAAGAACCACCAGGCAAGAAAAGATGAAACTTATGTGAAAGATTCATTACATACACTAGATTCAATTTTGTTCATATCATAGCCCACAGGGGTAGGGCGGGGCCACAAGAGGGGATCAAAGTTTTACATAGGAATAAATAGGAAACGTCTTTAAAAATCTTCTTCTTGAGAATAGCAAAGCCATGATTAGTCATATTATTATAGAATTACACTCAGGTAGTGTAGATTCAAGTTTGTTCCAGTCATGCCCTGGGGGTAGGGGAGGGCCACAACAGGGGTCAAAGTTTACCATAGGAATATATCAGAAATATCTTTAAAAATCTTCTTCTCAGGAACAGCTAAGCCGTTATTCGTCATATAGATATAGAAGTATGCTCAGATAGTGTAGAATCAAGTTTGTTCGAATCATGACCCCAGGGATAGGGTAGGGCCACAGCAGTGGGTCAGAGTTTTATATGTTCGCAGGTGAGTTAAGGCTAGGTATAGGCATTTCTGTGCAAATAAACTAATTAAAATGCCTAAGGACTATATCTATTATACAGAGAAAGTTAAAACCTATTGTCTAATACATACTGGGTACCCACGACATGAGATAGCCAGTACACATTATGACGTCATATTATGACGTCATTGTTCTTTACTACACAAGATTATAATGGACATCAACAAAAATGGTTCGGCCCAAGGGCATACTCTATTTTATTCAACTGAAAAAAAGTATATTTAGAAGCAAAATATTTCAAAGTTTGTTGGTATTGCTGCACAAATATCAACAGCTCAGTTGAATAATTTCTATTTGTAAAGTTTTAAGTTGAATAAGGGTAAAAATGTACAGTCCAGTATAAGTTTCCTTAAATTCCGATCAAATGAAACAATGCCTAGGATTTGTGCAGCAATTTAATTAATCTATAGAATATTCTTCTTAGCATTATACAATTTTTATGTAAAAATAAATAGGGTAATCCCTTGCGCCGAAGCTGTTTTGTCGATGTGTATTATTACCTCAAGTAGGTAAGATCAGTGATGTCAAAATATGATGTCATACTGTGTACTGGCTATGACATATCAGGGGTACTAAGCATGCATAAGAAAATAAACAAAACTTTCTCTGAATAATAAATATACCTCTTATGCGTTTTTATAAGCTCATTTGCATAGAAACGCCTATACCTAGCCTTAACTCACATGCGTTAAGAATATACGAGGGTTGTCCCAGAAAAATGCGAACATTTTCAATATCTTTTGTTTCACTAATACTATAAAGTTAAAAATTGGCACACACCATAATCAAATTCCAATAAGATATCTCTATAAATAACATTTTTCTCTCAGGTAAACGAACCTTTCAAAATAGCTGTCAGCGCAATACTTACGACGTCAAAACATAGCTCATGGCATTTGTGAATTTATTATGGAATCATGCTTCTGATTAAATTTGTTTGAAGCATAAATTCGACACTGTATTTAATTTTCTTATAAATTCGACACTGTATTTAATTTTCTTTTAGTTATCAAGTTATCTATATCAGATGTTAGCGTTACCAAAAGATTGTGAAATTAATTCCTTAATTAGAAAATTTCTCAACACCGATCATAAACCTTACTGCTCGTATAAGTTGAACAGTGGAAGGCTGTCGCAACGTATATGACGTTTAGCTCCTGACTTTTCAGTTTGTCTTCATTTCTGGTGGTATACCAAACGCTTCTTCCATTGAATAACCAGTTAAGCCATCCTCTTCAACTAGGTATTAATCCGTGTCCGAGACGTACATTTGTGCCGTTCCATCGTTAACATGTCTTTTCCCATATGAACAAGAGCCAAATACCGCCCAATACAGTACTGCTTGATAATTTAGTGCTCCACATTATCGCCCGACGTCACAATTTTTGACAATATCTTACTAAAAGTGTGTAGGCATTTAACGTCATATTTTTGTTACTTGTGATGCCAAATTAATGAATTTTTACAAATGAGTACTTCAGATCATAGAATTTCTACGGAGGTAATTTTTTTCATATTATATTTCCGTATAGCTTGGTAATAAAGAAAACGTCATTGACAATGATATTTCTAAAACTACAAAAAATTGCAGTGCGCCGACCACCGATATTTGACACACTTAAAATGCTGTTGTTACATGAATATGACATTACGACATAAAAATATTTTGTCAAAATAACAAAAATAACATTTCCAAACAAAGTGCAAAAATTTATCAGTTTTGGTTGAATAGTTTTTGAAATATTTAAAAAGATCGCGTTTTTGTGGGACAACCCTCGTATAGGAAATATCTTTAAATAAAAATCTTTTTCTCAAAACCAACTAAGCCATTATTAGTGGTACTTATACAGAAGGAATTGTAGAATCAAGTTTGTTCAAATTATCAGGGGTTGAGGGGGCACAACAGAGGGTCAGAGTTTTACATAAGAATATATAGGAATCATTTTGAAATAATCTTCTGCTCAAGTACAGCAAAGCCATGATTGGTCATATAATGATAGAAGATTCCTCAGACAGTGTAGATTCAAATTTGTTCAAATTTAGGGTGGGTAGGGAGAAGCCACAATGAGTGATGAGAGTTTTACCTAGGAGTAAAAAAGGAAAAAATCTTATTAGTAATATTGATATGGAAGCATCCTGAGGTAATGTTAATTCAAGTCTGCCCCCTCCCTCCCCCCAATCCTCCCCCCTCTCCCTGAAACTTTTCAATACTGAACTGATTTCTGCATTTTCCTAACCAATGTGCCAGGTGAGTGATATGGCCCTTGGGTCTCTTGTTTCATTCATACTTTATTTGAACAGCAATGCAGTCTGGGAACCATCCCTCAAGAGTAACCATGATGGATAATACTGAGCATGGTAGCCATGGAAACCATTCTCAGATGACGGGGGAAGAGAGTGATACACAAAAGCAGTATTTGGCGACATAGGTGTTGGAATCAAAGCTACCATTTTGAAGAACTTACCAATCCATGATGTCGCTGAAATTTTTCTGGCAGTTGTCAGAAGCTGAACCAAAGAAGAGTGAATTCAGGCAGTTAATTTCATAAATTTAAAGAACTCTTGTGACCCAGTAAAAATATTCTGAAAGGGCATAATTACAAGTGTGTGTGAATGCTCATTGAATGCATACAAGACAAATTTTTCAGTATGTGTGCAATGCTGAGTTCTGTGTAATGCTGTTATTCACAACTGAAAACTGAAACAGGGGTCTATTTCTCGAGAAAAGTGTGTACGAACAATTACCACTGAATAACAGAGACATGAACTTAAAACAAAAAGGAGGAATTAACAGGGAAAGTCTGATATCAGATTTTGATAATTTGCAGGAGATATTTGATTTGGTCTGTTAAATTTGTTGCCATGCCATGCAGATCCGAGATAAATGTCACTCTAAATGAAATCGTGCACTCAAGACTAAGAAGTTTGTTTATGAAGGATATTTTACTGAAAGGATGAAGTATGTGTGAGTGTATATACTTTTGTTATCATAAATCAGTCATTCACAACTTATCCATTGTCCAGTCAATTAATGACAACAGTTTTCTCAGTGCATTTATACAAAGAAGATTTTTCAAATTTCTAGCTGATATTAAACTAATAGAACTTTGGCATTTTCTAGATGAATTATGTATGATAATGTACATTGTATATCTTTATGCCAACAAGATAAATTATCAGTGAATCTTAGGAAAACTTTTAATAACAAGTAATTTAATTTATTCAGAATTATTTATGATTCAGAGTTGTTTATTTCTTCATAATCTTCACAAATGATAATGATTGTGTTCTATTTTCTGTACTCTTTTTAGTTCAAATAAGTATTTCTGATCAAAATTTGTCAGTTTTTGTTGTCAGTATCAACTTTTCACAATTTCTTCTTCTCCAGAACCACTGGGCAAAATTTAACCAAACTTGGCACAGAGCATCCTGGGATAAAGAGAATTCAAGTTGTTCAAACGAAAGGCTACATCTTTGCTTGATAATTTGATATTTAAGAATTAGTTAAAATTTAATGACACTTTTAAAAAAATCTTTTCAAGAACTACTGGGCCAGAAAAGATAAAACTTGTGAAAGCTTCATAACAAAGAATAGATTTTTTTTTTTTTTTTTTTTTTTTTTTGAATCATGATCTCCAGAAGTAGGGTGGGGCCACAACAGGGGATCAAAAGCTTTACATAAGAATATGAAGGAAAAATCTATATATGTAAGCATCCTTAGGGAGTGTAGATTCAAGTTTGTTCAAATCAAGACCCAGGGTATAGGGCAGGGCCACAATAGAAGCTCAAACTTTTACATAGGAATACATATATATTGGAAAGCATCTTTAAAATTTTTCTCCTAAAAAACAGCAAAGCCATGATTGGTCATGTAAATATGGAAACATCCTCAGGTAGTGTAGATTCAACTTTGTTTTAATTTTGTAGGGGTGAAACGATATGCCTTCTTCACGGTTCGATACGTATCGTAAAATTTGGTCTCGGTTCCGTTATTTTCGATACGATACATTTTGATAGAAGGAAACAAATTCAACTGTTGTTTTACATGTTTTATGCTTCCTTTTACTTGATCTGGTCAAATAATTTATGTGCAAAATGGATAGAAGAAATCAATTTAATTGATTTGACTGTTAAAAATTATTTTACAAACTGTAAGTCCACAAAAATTTACGTTTTTTAACTAATTATACTGAGAAGCATGCTTATACCTTATGCCAAACCCGACTGAATGATGATCCCGACCGAAAAACGAACCGAACCGAAAATAGAGATTTTGTACCGTGTATCGAACCGAGAAAAAATACCGTGGTGAATCGATACCGCGGTGAACCGTTTCACTCCTATAATTTTGACCCTTGGAGGTGTAGCGAAGCTCAAAACTTTTATGTAGGAATACGTGTACATTGTATGAAAAAAAGCTTTGAAAATCTTCTCAAGAACAGCAAAGCCATGATAAGTCATAATAATATTGAAGCATCCTCAGGTAGTGTAAATTCAAGTTTGTTCAAAACTTGATCCCCCAGGGGTAAGATGGGGTCATATCAGGCAATCAAAGATTACATAGGAATAAATGGGAAAAAATTTTTTTCTCAGGTACAGCAAAGCCATTGGTTTATCATATTTATATTGAAGCATCCTCAGGAAGTGTTGATTCAAGTTTGTTGAAATCATGGCCCAGGGGGTAGGGTGGATCCACTATATTAGGTAAAAATTAAGTATACTAATATATAGGGAAAAATCTTTAAAATCTGTCATTATTAGTTATAATGATATGCAAACATCCTCAGATATTTTAGATTCAAGTTTGTTCAGATCAGTAGCCCTTTCCACAAAAAATCTTAAGTTTTTTGCGTAAGATTTTAACTTAACAATCTCTTACGACAAATCTTAAGTGCGTTTCACGAACGCATTCGTAGCAGATTGAACTTAAGATTTTACTTACGACAGATTTCATCCCTAGCAACGACTTCAATATGCTTTATAATCCTTAAATAAGTGGGTGAAAATAAAAATAAAGCTAAGTTTTCAACATTTGTCAGCATAACAAACATTATTGACAACAAATATCGAATGCAAGCGTTTGCGAAGCAAGGAAGTTTAAAATCTGACGTCACAATCACAAATCTGACGTAAAAGTAGGTCATACGAAAATCTTAAGTGAAACTTACATCGTAAATATTTTGTAGTGTATTTCATTTGATTTTTCGACAATGATTGTGAAAAAAATATAAAATGTTATTGGAAGTTGCTTTAAAAAGTTCAATTTAACGTGTATTTTGGGTCTTGCGGTTATATTTTTATAATAAAATCGATTTTAAAATACTTAAGAGAGGGTTGGGGCCTCGTAAAGTTACGACAGATTTTGCACTTACGAATTTCTTAAGACTTTTTGTGAAAACGATTTTTATCATAAGTTTTCACTTAAGATAAAAATATGTCGTAAGTTTTTTTGTGAAAATGTCCACAGGGCTCTGAGGAATGGGCTGAGGCTACAACAGGATATCAGAGTTTTACAAAGGAGCACTTTTGAAGAGTGGCAAGACGACACTAAATCATATGAAAAAGCAAAGCATACCTAAGTTATGTGAAATCATTTTTTTTATTGTGAGTCCTTGTTGGGGGGGGGGGGGGGTCAGAGAATCCAGATTTTACATCGTGCAAAAATCATCTCCAGAACAACAGGATGTTGTAGATTGTATTGATATAGAAGCATCCCAATGTTGTATGGATTCGCCTTTGATTAAAACATAGCTCTCTTAGGGCTAGAGTTTGGTCCACAATATGGAGTCAAATTTTTTTTTGAAATTGAAGAGGGATATTAAAAAAAAAAAAAACAGCTGACAAAACTGCAGGGTCAGAGTGACTCAGGTGAGCATTGGGGCCCATGGGCCTCTTGTTTACATAGATATAAGCTTGTGTGATGCATCAGATTTCCAGATATTTCCTGACACATTTTAACAATTTCATAGGCAGCAATCTTACTTTCTTCAAATTCTCGCATTATGTATAACATTGATTGATTGATTGAGATGCTGAAGTGTTGTCTATGAAACAATCAGTGCTATAAAAAGCAATGTGACTTAAACAACGAATGATTAGGTCTCCTGGGTCACTCAGGTGACCAGTTCTATCTGTTTTTGCTTGTCTTCATCCATGTGTCATAAACTTTTAAATATTTACAGCTTCTTCTCATGAACAGCTTAACCAATAACAAATTTCAACCCAATTTTGGTATAAAGGAAGAACAAAAATTGTAAAATGTAACCCCCCCCCCCCTAAATTATCAGAATTCATGCAGTCTTCAAAAATTTGTCTATTCCTGGATAGGGCTTGGACGATACAATTTTTCTATATTGATATGTATCAGCATATTAGAGCCATGATACCATATGTATCAGGATATATTGAATTGGTTTTAAAATCTTTTTTCTGTATTAAAATGAACATAACATTTCTTCACAAATATGAATAATTTATTCAAAGAATTTGTATATCTGTTGTAATACAAATTTTTTTGCTTTACACAAGTGGTGTTAAATATTATGTACATGTATTTCATATTTATATTTAAGGAATGTTTTTAAGTTTTGTGTGAGTTATTGGTGTGTAAATCACACAGACTTGTCACGTAGGCATATTTCATGAAGCGCGCTAGCGCTTCATGAAAAATATGCCTACGTGCAAGTCTGTGTGATTTACACACCAATAATTCACACTAAACTTAAAAACATTCCTTATATTTATATTTTTCAAGTTTAAAAGCACTAATGATATACTCAATATTTGAATTTCCTGCTGCCCTATATCGTTACATTTTTATTTACGTCTCTGTAGCCTCATTGTGACGTCACTTTAGCGCAAGTTTCACCGTGTATATTTCCACGCGTGAGTATACACAAAAATGACTTTCAAATTAATTTCACAGTTGGCTTAGTAGAAAAACACAGCAAATGTAAATATTTATAATTAGCATATTTTTATATATATATTAAACCCAAAATGTTAAGTATACAAAGAAAAATATGTCAGAATTTTTTTTGCGATATTTCTTCTTACATATTGAAATCCGTATCGTCCTCACACAGAATCGATATCTCGATATATCATCCCAGCCCTACTCCTGGACATCAAGTAGTCATACTGTTGGCAAAATTATTATAAGCATTGAGCCCTCTACCAAAATTGTGAAATTTATGGCCCCAGGATCAGAGGTTCTAGTGTTAGGGTGGGGCTTTATTGATCATATTGTGAAGAAAATACATAAATTCTGTAAAAATCTTCTTTTCTGTTTCTGAGTGGGAATCAAGCAGAAAAACAAGTGCAAGCTTATGATAAGCAAGGGTGCCACTTCCAGAATTATGGAATTGCCATTCCATAGATCCTTTACTGGGTTGTGTTATACTCAGGTGACCGTTGAGGCCCTCGGGCTTCTTGTCCTTGTACATACATCTAGTAATTTAATTTATCTTGTTAAATATATATATATATATATATATATATATATATATATATATATATATATATATATATATATATATATATAATGTTGTGATGTTAAAATGTTGACATTCATTTTCTAACACCTATAACACATTTTCTTCTGATTGGTAATTTTTTCAAGTTTTCATTCAAAATTCATTATACTTTCTTGAAGAGATGGGACATACTCCTTAGCATTTATTTGTTCAATAGTTGGTCAGTAGACCAATGTTTGCTGACCAGTGCTTAAATCTTGAGGACCCTTTGCCTGAAAATCTTCAGACTTTACACAGATTGTTCATGATAATAAAATGGCTTCTACAGATTTTTAAGCCAGAAGGTTGGAGGGTTTTTTTTCTGTACCACATCAAATGAATTATAAGCAATATTAAAAAAAAAATGGCTTGATTATATAAATCAAGTTTTTAAACAGGTTGGTCTTGATAAAAATGACGTGGTATTAAATAAACCATAAGAGTTGTTCAAGTAGGGCTTATATGTTGTAATGTTGACAGTCTCAGAAAACAGTTTGCATCAGAAAACTTTTTAATTATTTCAATTGTTGATTTTGTTTGGTCATATCCACTTCATGGAGATTGACCAAGTTTTTATAAATAC